AGCATCTTTATAAAGTCAATTATCAGGTAGTTTGAGCCGGGAAATCCCATGAGGAAGTAATTATAGCTATTGCCCCTGTAACTGTTCTCCAGCCTGAATCAGGTTCTCCAGCCTGAAATCGGGAAATCACTTAAGCATATGCTAATATGCTTCTTTTTTTCAGGAAACCACTTGAGAACCTATTCTGCAAGGAACTTGAGCACTTTGAAGGGTCTTAATATAACGCAGATGCTTCAATGCTTTGCTGACCTTCAGTCTTAAATAGAGACTTAGTTTTACATTTTAAACAAGATTTAAGCATGTCTGCCAGTTAAGTACATGCATACATACTGCTGTGTACAAGAACATTTCTTCAGTAATGGCTGCAGCATGTCCAAATCTGATTTCCCTTGAGAGTCATAAACTACTTGTCTACTGAAAAACAGATCCATTTAACAGATGGAATATAATAGCCCTGGGAAAAATATTACTCATCTCCACAGAGGTTTAAAAAATTATATCATGGAAACTTAAAGGATCCTATTATATTTGCTACTGAGAGCTATTTTGCCGTTAGCTATTTCCCCCATAGTGTTTGATGAGGTCTACCAAGACTTTTCAACATTGAGATGAACCATTCAAAACAGCAAATCCATGATCTTGGCTTGGATTTCAAAAATACATACTCACCAAAAACCTTTGCCTCAAATTTTCCTTTCACAGTATGTTAATGTTATCCTAAATCCAGCAAGATGAAGATAAACTAAAAGGAACAGCAAAACCCTGTTTGACCTTGCTAAAAGCAATCAGGCTGTTATACTTTTAGTAGAGATGCAGTAATAAAATGAAAGATCACATCCTGCCTTTTTCAGTGAGACATCTCATTGTCTTAATATACAAAACAGAGGGCAACATTTATTCTTTCTCTCAGTTCTACAAAATCCATTTTGAAAGTTTCCTTCTTCCTCTAATGTAGATATAAAAGCCAATCTTCTTTAGGGCATCTTTAGTACAGATGAATCAGACCCTTAGATTGCCTATTTTTTTTTTGCAGATGTCCTACAAAATCTGAGAGTGTATCTGTACGGCTGCAGAAAAGTAAACTAGAGAGCTAGCTCGAGCACTGAATTTCTGATTATATGCTTTACTTCAAAGCTCATGCCCTGACTCTGATTTAGGCTGTTCAAACTTGTCTTCAACACAAATTGCACAAAGGGCAGACAACTGTTATCAGTATGGGCACAAGCCAGGCTGTGCTACTTAGTGTCCGAGGTATCACAAGGGATCCTAGGTACACAGGATGAATACTTGGCAAGTTTTATTGGTGATTCTAGAAGTTCTCTGCCACCTTATGTCCCAATGCTTTTTAGCACTTTCAACAGTATTTCAATAATGTGCAGTCTGACTTTCGCATTTGTGTTCCAGAAGGAGAACAAAAAATAAAACTTTTCATCGGTTTTCTTACATGGCTATTAAGAAATCCTACACACAAGATTCTGATCTAAAATGGATTTCTGGCTTAGTACTGCTACTGGCAGTCTACCAACCACTTCAGCTTATTATGACAGTAAATGTAAAACATTTCAACACCAATGTAAAATAATGCAAACTGATTTTACGTGACAGAACACTAACCTTCCTTCCACTTGTCTGAGAGCCATCCTCATTTTCTCTTCGTACTGCTTATACTTTTCTGTACTAACATATACGTGAACTACAGATCCATCTTTCCAGAAGGTATGTACAAACTTGTTGCAGTATTTTGCATGAATTACCTTCTTCTTTGTCTCCTACAGCCAAGAAAAACATGTTTCATGTTCCAAAACACATTATTTTGCTGTGCCTTTAATATTTGGTGAACAGACTTCAAAGGTACATGCTTGTTGCATATGAACATCTGCAGAAATAGACATGGGATAGGGTGGTCACAGAATTTGCTCCTAGTAAAAGTCAATAGAAACCATTTTTATTCTTGTAACTAGCAAGAACAGAAGCTTAACAAACAGTGTAATGGTAGAGCCTGAGAAAAACAAATAGAAGACAAATTAATCCAAATTTGTTTAAGGACCTGCAAACGCTGGAGCAACTGAGAACAACACTTATAAGGAAAAATAAAGATGACAAGTAATGTTTGCTCTACCCCACATAAATACATAGAAAAACAAGGCACTGCTTAAGCCAGTCCTGATTCTTCCTTGGCAGATTATATGTAGACCAGGAAGGAGTCCTTGAAACAATCATTTTCAAATAACCCTTTGAAACAATCTTATTTATAACCATCTTTGTCCCATTCCAATAATAATTTGGTTTTAACAAAAACTGCATAACAACAGGCCATGAACTTTGTCATAAATTCAGCTATCAGTCAAGTTTTCAAGTTTTAAAAGAAAAATCAATCAACTCACAGACATGAGGGAAAATTAATAATACTTACAGCATCAGTTTGCGAAGATTCATTCTCTGGTTTAGTTTTTATGTCAACAATCCCATCCACATGGCGAAAAGTACAATCGGCAAGTGCATCATATAGTGTGAGCTTCTGAGCTTTCAAGCCATACTTCTGCAGCCACTTCTCAGCAGACAAATTTTTGTCAGATGTATGCTTTTTTAATGGATGATCAGATTTGGTTGCTAATAAAGAAAATAAAACAAACAAAACCTGCTATAGGACGTGGTTCATTTTAGGTAAGGTATTTTCAAAAACCATTTATGATGCTGCAGTCAAAATTTTCAAACGTGTTCTGCCTCACTGACAGGTTTGAAGTGAGAGTATATTTCTGATGGATTTTCAATATTCTCTACTTTGTTTGTGGTCGATTTTTTTCTTATCAGGCATTTCTTCGCAACAAATTCCTTTGTAAATGGAACAAACTCATCAGAAGACCGAGAGTAAGGAAGATAAATAGCTACAGGAACAACATATAAAGGGAATATTCTTAGTCGTATGAGTTAAGTAGTACGAGTAGTATGAGTAAGGTTAAGTCAACCTTCATACGAGTTGAACTACAAAATGCCAGAAAAAAATCCTGTATAAGATGACTAACTTCAAGGAGAATCATTTGAGAAATGAAACAACGGAAGATATAATTGAAAATACAGTTGAGAACTGTAGAATGAGCTAACATTGCCGATGGTCTGTTTCAGAAAAGGCCACTTAAAGAAAAAGGCAAACTACAATGTCTGTGGAGAAGATCGTATGGTGTTTCTCTGCAATATTGCCTTTTTATAGGCTGAATATTGCACCATGTATCCCAAGTCACAAATCACTTGTGTACCATCTTGACATTTTCCCTAGTTCTACACCCTCTTTTTAGCATTTTTAATTGATACTGAAAGAAATAGGATATTTTTTGTCTGATCTGGTATGACTGTTCTCATGTTTACCCTTTTATGTCATATTGTTTTAGAAGTTTTCTAAGGACCATCTTGAGGTTGGGCACTGCATATCTCTGGATACTGGTAATAGGATACAGGGCTCTGCGCTCACTCATCACTAGCTCAATAAACCACACCTAAACCAAATGAGCCAGAAGTGGGTCTCCTAGCAGAGTGAATTTATTTTGTCACACTTTCATTTTGGTGGGCTTAGGTCGTATAAATGTCTACCTTGTTCAGATGCAGCTACAGTGACAACAGTATTGAGATCCTGAGCCAATAAACAAACCTATGGAGAAATCTACTGCCTTAACAAACACAGAGATCAGCCAGCATCAGGGCAGGTGTAGGCTCAGAGCCTGTTCATGTGGAAACATTTGCTTTCTGATTGCCAGTGGCCCTTAGGACAGACAGTGTGGCAAGCGTCACCAAAGCATTCACATAATTTTAAAAACAAAACTGCCATTTTCTTTCTTCTGTGTGCTCCATGTAGAAAGTCAAGTCTCGGTTCAGATAACTAGTGCATTATCTGGAGAGTCAGCAGAAAATTTGTCTGTTTTTCTGTTTCTCCTCCTGAAGAACATTGCAGTCTCCAGAGCAAACTACATTTTGCAGTAGAGCATTTTAAAGAGATCAGGAAGGCAAAACCAGGAAGAAATGCAGGCAAACAGAAAGAATGCAGTTATTTGGATCAAATAATGCTGAAGAACTGACAAACTAAATACACTGCAATTTCATTTCTTTTGATTTGTTTATGAAGTGATTATGTATGAAGATAAACACTGAAAGAACATTAGAGCTGCGTAGTCAGGGACACATAAATAAACACTGAAATTAGGGCTGCCCCTGCAGCTTTATTGTGGTCTTTTTGTTCATATGCATTATGGTATAGCTGTTTAACTTCATATGGTAAATCCAGCTAAATCAGAAGATGCTATTATTAGTATAAAAACTGTATTGAGCCTTCACAGAAGAATAAATTCAAACTTAAGTCCTGCAGAATTGTTATTGACGTTCAAACCCAGTGCAGGCAGAGAAAGTTCCCAGCTTCAAATCTGCTCCATCACCACCATACAACACATCGCTAAGAGTTCAGGTGACTGACCAACTGCCTGTACAAAGTGTTTCTCAGCAGGTGATCAGAAAATGGCATATGGCCCCAGTCTCCATCTAGCCAAAGCAAAAACCAATTGCACTGTAAAACCAAGACCAGAGCTATACAAATTCACTGATGACTTGTGCTAACTCCACCTGAATCTTGTATCAACTTATGCAAAAAATACCACCAGACACCATGCGAATATTTTAAAACCAAGGACTAAGACAGAAGATACCCACTGACAATCACAGTTATGATCCTGAAAATCCACCCCCTCAGTTGCAGTCCAACACTGAAGCTGCCTAGACTCTACAGATCCCTAAGTTTTCAGTATTGAATCCTTATCAGTGTGATCATTCTGCTGCAGAGCACCTCCATTTTAGCAGGGCTGAGTAGCTTCTCACCATTCCCTGTTTAAGCCTTCCACAGATTCAGAAGCCAGCTATGCTTCTGTCTTCAATAGGGCTCAATCAATATGCACAGAATAACAAGTGGATCCTGTTTTAGGCCAAACATAATGGTGGGAACTATTAGTTTAATGAAAAAATGTGGGTGTTCCTCCATGTTTCTGAACACAAAAGTTGTCAGAGCACTCATCCAGAATGGGTTTCAGTTCTCTACCTTTGACTAAGAGAATTTAAACCCACACTTCTTCCCTTCTAGGGGAATGAACTAGCTACCAGGTTGGAGGCTATTCCAAGAAGACCATGATGGGAGAGAGATAAGGTACTTCCCCAGCACTGTGTAGAATAAAGATTTACTGGCCCAGGCAGAGAGGGAGAGACCACAAAAAAATGAATTTCAGTATCTTGAAATCTAGGCAGTTTCTAAACTGAGTCACTGATGAACTAAAAATGGTGTGTTTCGGCCTGGGCTGTTAAAGTTCAGCAAGTTTAAGCAGCAGTAAACAAGGATTTGTAATGGAAAGTTTTAAGCAATCTTAAGTTAGATGTCAAGTACAAGTGCCACCTGTATGTAGACATTTCTGAGAAAATCATGTCCAAATTGACATGTAATCAAAACTGTTCACAAATTAAAATATTTATCATTAATATAATGGTAGCTCTTTTGAAAGAAACGTAAATGATACCATCTCGAGGAGCTGGCTGGTCAGATTCTGACAAAATTTTCTGAACCTGTCCCACTGTACTCCTAGCTTCCTCCAACTCCTTCCAGATCAAAAAGACATCTTCACGGACACCAGCCACTGTAAAAGAAATCATAAAAAGAACTTGACATTTTGAGACAATTTCTGCTTTTTGTAATTCCTCAATTACCACAAAGTCTTTGGGTTCATCCAGATGTTGCCATATAACCTTGTTTTCTTGAGCTTCCACTGCAGTGAAAAGTGCTGTTCTTTGATAAATTTTATTTTCATCCTAACAATTCTCAACAGTCATAAATAAACGCTAAAAAGAAAATAAATATTTTATTATCAGGCTACATTCTCAAAAAAATTGGAAAAATCCAAAGCTGTAGTTGATACAAGATTTTCTTAATCTCAATAGATATGTTTGTCTTGATTAAAAAAAAAAAAAAAGTGTTTATTTATTTAGCAGTGTAAAACTATTAAAACGAGGCAGCATGTATACCTAAGTAGTATGAACACTACTAAAAAATGTGCTGAATTAGGCTACTCTCAGAGTTTAAATTGCAATATAGGACAATACAGAAAAATTGAATCATAAGCTATCCTAACCACAAATGCAGACAACAACTGATTGCAGATTACAACCTATTACTGAATTGCACATAAGGATGCTGAACAAGGCAAACTATATCTTATTATCTAGTGGTTCAGTTAATATACAGTGGTGGTTCACTGTATAGTAGACAAGATATGCAAGCCTGTCTGCTAAAATAGGCTATCAGTAAACAAACAAACCTGATCATTTTGTTCTTTGACAAACTCCCCTGAAATAATAATATGAACGTTTTACAAAATAGCAACTCAATTTTAATTGTGAAATGTTTTTAGTTTCCAAGAAATATTTTGAAATGTGTTATTGTACACTGCCATCTCCTGGGACCTTTCTGCATTTCAAAACCATCTGTTTCAGCCATTAGGACAAAGATCAACATTGCCTAAATCACAAAAAGCTTTAGTAAAGCAGATCATTTCACAACACAAAACACAAAAGGGAGAAAAATACTCAGTCTGTTCTCACTACCTTTTAAGTTTAAAAAAAGAGTTCTGTTCAAATACTTCAGAAAGAAGTCAACTTTTCTTTTATAAACAATCCCTCCCCAGAAATGCAAAACACACAAAATCTGACCATTGGCAAAGTTCCAGGAAGTAGGGAGCTAGAGGTTTTCTGATGAGTAGTCAGCCATTGAATACATATATACACACCTGTTGTCACACTTAAAACCGTGAAACACATACATTCACACCACGCATGCACATATTTCTAAGACTGTTGATAACGCAATTCCAGTGAAGATGTCTCAAACTAAATCTGGGTATCTTCCATAAGCTATCAAATACTGGGATCCAGATTTAATCTTATGAATGTTTTTAATGTTATGTTTGAAAATATTGAAAGAAGTTATGCATATTTTAACTACCTTTAAAATAATACTGTTTATTATATTATTGGATGTCATACTGATCATTATATCATTGGATTTCTTCATTTCCCCTTAAATTTACAGAATCACAGAATCATAGAATGTTAGGGATTGGAAGGGACCTCAAAGGATCATCTAGTCCAATCCCCCTGCCGGAGCAGGACCACCTAGATCAGATCACACAAGAATGCGTCCAGGCGGGTTTTGAACATCTGCAGAGAAGGAGACTCCACAACCTCTCTGGGCAGCCTGTTCCAGTGTTCTGTTACCCTTACTGGGAAAAAGTTGTTCCTCATGTTTAAGCGGAACTTCCTGTGTTACAGCTTATATCCATTTCCCCTTGTCCTACCATTGGATGCCACTAAGAGCCTGGCTCCATCCTCATGACAGTCACCCTTTACATATTTATAAACATTAATGAGATCCCCCCTCAGTCTCCCTCTTCTCCAAGCTAAAGCGACCCAGCTCCCTCAGCCTTTCCTCATACAGGAGATGCTCCACTCCCTTCATCATCTTTGTGGCCCTGCGCTGGACTCTCTCAAGAAGTTCATTGTCCTTCTTGAACTGAGGGGCCCAGAACTGGACACAATATTCCAGATGCAGCCTCACCAGGGCAAAGTAGAGGGGGAGGAGAACCTCTCTCTCGACCTACTAACCACACTCCTTCTAATACAGCCCAGGATGCCATTGGCCTTCTTGGCCACAAGGGCACATTGCTGGCTCATGGTCATCCTGCTGTTCACCAGGACCCCCCAGGTCCCTTTCCCCTGTGCTGTTCCCCAACAGTTCAGTCCCCAACTTGTACTGGTACATGGGGTTGTTCTTACCCAGATGTAAGACTCTACACTTGCCCTTGTTGTATTTCATTAAATTTCTCCCTGCCCAACTCTCCAGCCTGTCTAGGTCTCATGCTATAGACTCATCTTATTTACAGGATTATTGTTACTGTCCCCAGTAAAATATGTGTATTGGATTGGTACTACACAAGAAGGTATTTTTTCCTTATACTGCAGTGCAGCAAAGTAAAACAGCACCAAAAGTAAAACTTTCAAAGTTTGTTTGATGACACTTACTACACAGGACAAACGCAGGCATCAACAGCTGTGTATTGTAAAGGTCAAGCTGCTCAGAAAATCTTTCATCCGGCAGCAGTTTTTCCTGGGTTCAGCTGGGAGAGCAGGTTGCCAGCAGTGACAACCAAAGCAACTTTCTCTCTCTACATAGGAGGCTCACCTCCACCTCCACCTCCGCCTCTTTTCCTCTCCGGCTAAGGAGAAGCGGGAAGGAAAAGCTACGCCTTCCAAAGCTGAGCCCTCAAACTTCAAATTACACACACACATACGATGCACAGCATCTTCCAGGCGTGGCTGTCAACCTGCGGCCCGTCCCTCAAAGCGCATCAGTGGAAAACGCCGGAGAAAGCACAAACCTCTCTTCGGTGTAAATTCCCAGCGCTCACACCTCAGCTGTGCCATTTCCGCATCCCAGGAAACGCCTCGTCTTAAAAAAAAAAAAAATCCACAACCACTTTATCCCCAGAGGGAATGGTCCCTCCCCGTCCCCTCGGCCGTGAAGTGCCCCCTCTCCGGCCGCCCCGGCTGGCGGTTTAACGGCCGCCCGGGCGGGAGCCCCGGGGGCTCCCGGTTCGGATGCAGAAATCAGCA